AATTTTTATTACTTTAGATATATAATGGCAAAATAATGACAAATATAATTACATAAGAGAACGTTTTAACTAAATAATCATTTTCATTATCATTTATTTCGAAGTATTCTATAATTAATGATAAATGTTCAAAATTCATTAATACCATGAATATTTTTCATTTTACTTTTACAATTACAAACATTTGAAGGACTTCGCTCACCAATGTTTTCATATGACGGTCAACCTATTAATTAAAAATTAAGAGATATAATTTTCAAACATACGAAAAAACAACAATGTATTCGTGTTGATTAATCGCGCTCTCTCTTCTTTGCTTTTCGCTTTCACACGAAAGAAAGTGATAAAAAATGATCTCATTTTTTTTTTCTTTTTTTTTCTTTTCTTTAAGATAACCCACTGGAATTCACCTAATTTCTACGCTTATTATCCTTCTTCCCAATCGTATGCGTCCATCATTGGTGAGCTCTTATGCGCCGGAATTGGTGGTGTCGGATTTTCTTGGATATGTTCGCCCGCCTTTACCGAATTAGAAGTTATAACATTGAATTGGGTTGGCAAAATGTTAAATCTACCATCCGAATTCTTAAATTGCGGCAATGGATCTGGAGGAGGTGTTATACAGGTAAAAAAAAAAAAAAATATGCCATGATACTTTTCGTCGGGCTAATGTAATTTCAAATGGGTACCGTTATAAGAAATATCGTTATGTCACAAAAGATAATCAAAATAAATATTAGTCACATTAATATTAATTAGCCAAAATGATTAATCGATTTAATCTTAAAATTCCATTAGTAGGTCAACATATATACATATAGTAAAAAGATATTTCGTTGACTTTCTCCGTTTAAAGAAAAAAAATCAAGGTAATTCCTCATACGATGATCGTCGTGTTTTCTTTCTTCTAAATACGAATAATAATAATAATAATAATAATAATAATAATAAAAAGAACGTTATCGACAGTAACAAAGAAGTACTTATATAAATAAAGAAAATAAGTACAAGTGTAACGTAACTTCATATTGTAACTTCGATTTACTCGAAAAATATTGAATTAATTAATTAAACGATATTATTTACTCGTATAAAAATAATAGAAAAAGAAAAAATAAATATAATTGAAAATATTGATTTAAGAGAGATCGGATAAAAAGATTAAAAGAAAAAAAAAAAGAAAAAAAAAATCTCGGGCTCGTCCGGGATTTGAACCCGGGACCTCTCGCACCCTAAGCGAGAATCATACCCCTAGACCAACGAGCCAGAGTTACAATAATAATTATAAAATTCTATATATTGATTGCTATAGAAATTTATCTAACTATAACTAATAGCTATATTTTTATTAAAATAATGTAAAAAATCTTCTAAGTAAGATTATACTTGTTTACCTAATATAGGGCTGTATCAAATAAACTTACTTTTAAAAACAAAAAACAAAAAACCAACGAGCCGTTCTGTCAATTTGTTCATTATTAATGATCAGCTTTAATTTATAAATAAAACCAATCGTTTAATCTTTATCAATGACTTCAATATAAACTATGTTTTCTATTATTATACATAGGGTTCCGCAAGTGAAACTACAATGATCTGTTTAATAGTGGCCAAAGATAAAAAAATCCGATGTATAAAAAATATTCATCCAGATTGGAACGAAGACATAATTAGAGGAAAACTGGTAGCTTATAGTTCAGGTAAACGTTATTGTTCTAGTTTTCATACAATTTTATTATAACAGTTATATCAGTTATAAAATTGACACAATTTACATTGTTACGCGTTTCAATTACGTCGTTCCAATAATCAAATTTATAATAAATAAAACGAAATATATTTTTTACTTCGAACTTTCTTATTATTCAGAACAAGCGAACTCGTCCATTGAAAAAGCAGGACTTTTAACTAATGTACAAATGAGACTGTTACCTACAGACGAAAATTGCAGTCTCCGTGGGGAAACATTATTACGAGCAATTAAAAAAGATTTAGAGGACGGTCTTATACCCTGTTACGTTTGCGCGACATTAGGTACTACCGGTACTTGCGCTTTTGATAATTTAGAAGAAATAGGACCAATTTGTAATCAATATGATATATGGCTTCACGTCGATGCCGCGTATGCCGGTTAGTATATCATTTATAATTATTTTCATTGTTTAAGTGCACTTGTCATTTGATTTATTAATTAATTGACATATATGTTTCACGATGCTTAATGAATTAAGTTATTGCGTTTATTTAGGTGCAGCTTTTATTTGTCCCGAATATCGACACTTAATGGCCGGTGTTCAATACGCTGATTCTTTTAACGTCAATTGTCACAAATGGATGCTCATTAACTTTGATTGTTCAGCAATGTGGTATGTATATTGGAATTAACGAGAAAATTATATCTCGCGTCTTGATTTTTACTATTGCAAAAAATAAACGAAAATATTAACGAAAACATAATTGAAAACAAAAAAAAATAAAAGAAAAAGAACAAACTGTAAATAATAAATTAACATGTTTTAAAGGGTAAAGAATTCCAAATATCTTATTGAGTCGCTTAGCGTCGATAGAATTTATTTGGCATACGATAAAGAGGGTCTCGCTCCTGATTATAGAGTACGTTTCTTTTTGAGATATTATCTTAACTTTTTTTTATAAATTTTTAACGATCTAATTCAAATATTTCTCTTTCATAGAATTGGCAAATATCATTAGGACGTCGTTTTCGTTCTCTAAAGCTTTGGTTTGTTTTACGTCTTCACGGTATAGAAGGAATGCAACGACACATAAGACATACTATATCGTTGGCACAGAAATTCGCTAAATACATTGAATCCGATGAAAGATTTGAACTTGTTACAAGTTCTATGGCATTAATTTGTTTCAGATTGAAGGTATGAAATATTTAACACGTTTCTTATTTTTTTTTTTTTTTTTCTTTTTTTTTCATCTAATTAGCAAGATTTTATAAATAATTCACAAGAGTTTTTTTTAGATATTTAATAATAACAATGGATAATATTATATACATAAGTGTTTATAAGTAATTTATATGTAATTATAATTATAAGTAATTTATATATATATATATATATATATATATATATATATATATATATAGTATTACAATTACTTTTTATGATATTTTTTGATACAATTTTGTATTTTGTTGTAGTATTTCAGGATAGATATTCAGGCCAATGTTTTCAATTCAATTTTGTCTTCTTTTCTTTTTCTTTACATCTCTTCTAATTTTCTCTCGATCAAAATTTATTTAGTTATCTCAACAAATAATATAATATAACAAAAGAAAAACACGCATTCGTTTGGTTATTATTTTTCTATTAAAAAAAAAAAAAAAAATTAATCCTGTAATTTTCTAAATCTTGTAATTAAAAATTTTTCGCGTATTTGGATATTAAACATTTAACGTTTCATTTGATTATTTTCTTTTTTTCTTTATTTCAGGGAGACAACAATTGGACAAAAGAACTTCTTACTCGTTTAACCGAGCGGAAACGTATTTACGTTATTATTGCAACGTTAGGTGAAAAATATATCATACGGTTTTGTGTATCCAGTCGATTATGTCAAGAACAGGACATTGAATTCGCCTGGAATGAAATCAGTGAACAAGCTACGGAAATTCTTCAAACGAAGCTTCGTCCTTTAGAGGAAATTTTAATTCAACCATCCGTGAAATCGTATGATCATATAGCACTCAGGATAGACAATTTAAATCATAAGTCCAAGGACGTCTCATAGAAAATCACATAATTTCTTTTTTTCTCTCTCTTTCTCTTTCTGTTTTTGTCCGTCCGTTTGTTTCTCTTTCTCTCCATTAATTATATTTAATATATATATATATAGAAAATGAGTATTTTATAGGCTTCGGCATATTTTCTTTAAATAATAAAAAAAACACACACGTATAAGTTTATTGATTAAAATTATTAATAGATTAATATGATAACATAATAATGATAATAATAATAATAATAGTAATATTTAATAATGAACATCAATTTTTTAATGGTATTATATTTAATATTAATAGATTATATTTAAATTCAAAATTAATTGTTTAAAAGTGTATAAGCAAACTTTCTCACCTTAAACAAAAATTTATTGTGATTTATTAAATTATTGCTGCATCATTTCTATCGTATTTTTCTTTTTTTTTTTTTTACTTTCTCTGATAACATTCAAATCGACATAATTAAAAAGGAATAACTTACGTAATTATCACCGATATTGACTAATATTATTTTATAACAAATCACTGATTAATGAATTATCAACTACGGACGCAAAGGAAAAAAAATATTGTTATTTATTTAACAAGAAAAATTCTAATATACTGACATACGTGATGCGATATACTAACTTATGTGTAATGACCTAATATATAATTGCCATATTTAATGCACGAATAAATTAAGCGATGTGCACATGAACTATTGTAATTATTTATTTCATATCCTTCAAGTACTTATAATTATATTATTGAAAGGTATAATTCGTCCTCTAGTATCTGCCTTATCGACCAAGTAGAAACATTTCACGCGTATGCTATATCGACCGAGTGTAAATCATTAAAGATAATAATACAAAGTTCTACCGCCAGATAGCGTTGGTCATCTCGACAATTTATCATACAATCTATATAAATATGTTTAAATAATGTTCTGTTCTTCTTTTATTAAATATTCGACATTATAAAAATGATGTCCAAAAATGAATCTAATAAGAGGATTATATATATATATATATATACTTAATTTTAATATTTTTCTACACTAAGTTTGCAATATTGTTAATAAGCTACTCGATTTATTGATCGATTAATCGAAATTGAACTTGCTATAGTCAGTTAATGCCAATGCGCATGATCTGTATACATATATATACTATATATCTGTACATGTGTATATATATATATATACGCAACTATAAAGCAACTTCAGAACGAAAGATCTCGTTCTTTTAATTAAGTCAGTCATAAAACTGATACGTACATACATCGAGCGAATTCACTATCATATATTTCTTGATTAAACAGTACGCCATATTAGCTCCGTTAAAACGATCACAATGGATATTAATTTCCAAGGCAAGCGTATTCTCGTCACGGGTGCTGGACAAGGTATAGTTCTCTTTTTTTTCTTTCAATTCTCATTTTTGTTCACACTCGAAGATGTCGCATTAGACGCCTTTGTTTTTCTTCTCTTAACTCTTCTAATACCTATGGATCAAACAAATCGATTCTTAATCGATTTATAGACAAACAATAATTAAAGTACCATGTGCAAGTGATTATGAAAGTGGTATAAATAAAATTTATTTTCATTTTATCCTATCATTGTTTCTTTTTCCATTTTTCATAATTAATTATATTGATATAAGACAGAAAACATACGTACGAATAAATATAAATATATTTTTTAAATGCCTTGACCACTATCATAATTACATTTTTTAAACATTATGGTATATATATACATATATATATATATATATATATATATATATATCATTGTCTAAATGATACTTACGATTTTTCGAATGGTCATCATTTGTATTACCTACGTGAAACATTTTTATGTTTACTTTAACCTTTAATGTATTTAAATGTAAAATAAAACAGATTAATAATGAATGAAACATATTAAGAAAAAAAAAAAAAAATAATTTAATTAGTTAATAAATTTTTTTCATAGGAATTGGTAAAGATCTAGCACTTCGTCTATCCAAATATAAAGGGAAAGTAATAGCTCTTAGTAAAACGAGCGAACATTTGAATAAATTAATTGCCGAGGATCCAGAGATCATACCAGTATGCGTTGATCTTAGAAATTGGAAAGCAACGAGACAAGCTATTGAAAATGTTTTACCGATTGATCTATTGGTGAACAATGCTGGTATAGGTCATCTCTCTCCTTTCTTGGATGCAACACCGGAGGATTTTGATTTAGTATTTGATGTTAATGTTAAAGCGATTATGAACGTATCTCAAGTGGTCGCTAAAAACATGATTGAAAGAAATGTTGCTGGCAGTATTGTCAACATGTCTTCTCAAGCTAGTCAAGCTGCCTTGAAGGATCATACTATTTATTGTTCTTCCAAAGGAGCCGTCGATATGTTGACAAAGTGAGAGCAATTTATTTGTTTTTCTTTTATATATATATATATATATATATATATATATATATATATATATATGTATATGTATGTGTATGCATGTATATATGTATGTATGTATGCATGTATTTATGTATGTATGTATTTATTTATATTATTAAATTTTTCTCTAATTTCTCGTCGTGTGCATTACATACATACGACGTATAATCGACATAAATAATATATCTATGCATAAATATTTTCAATATAATTCTTTTTTCTCTTTTATGATAAAGCTCAAGATTAGATAGATTCTTAATGGCGGATTTACGAATAGACATTAGAGGCAGTAGCCTTGGGTCATGACACAGAGAGAGATAATATAAATTTATATATTATCTCTGTATATTAAATTTAATTTATAATACCTCTCTGATGACCGGTATATAATATTTATTAATATATTTACACGATCGTATATAATCGAATTTGGACAATGTATTTTTCGTTTCAGCTATTATATGAATAATCGAAGCAAGAAAAAAAAATATATATATATATATCGCCTCGAGTCCATTGAAATGATAAATCCGCCAATGGTATATAAACTTTTAACCCTAAATGATATTATTACATACATTATTTTTTTTTTTCAACATTTTCATCGAAGAATCATTTCAAAATCTAGATCAGATGAAATAGGATAATTCGTTTCATCGACTTCTTTTCTTTTTTGTTTGTTTTTTTATTTTCATTTTCCTTTTATTTCCTTTTATTTTCATTTACTTTTTAATTTTTTTCGTTAGAATGATGGCTCTCGAACTTGGCCCACATCAAATTCGCGTAAACGCTGTAAATCCTACGGTCGTCCTCACGGAAATGGGAAAATTAGGATGGAGCGACAAAGACAAAGCTTCAAATATGATCAGCAAAATTCCATTGGGTCGATTCGCAGGTTTGTTTTTCAATACGATTTCATTTCATTGAATAATAAATTCTACTTCCTTCACAAGTGTCATACTTGTGTGAATATTTATTTTCTTTTCTCTAATTCTTTTTTTTTTTTTTTTTTTTTTTTTTTTAGAGATCGACGAAGTCACAGATGCGGTAGTATATTTATTAAGTGAACGCAGTTCAATGATAAACGGAATAATCTTACCCGTGGACGGTGGATTTTTAGCAACATAAATTGCTCTATTTGAATTATGGAACATTATAAAACACTACGCATTTTACTCTTTTCTTTCCTGTTTCTTTTTCTTGCCCCCACCCCGCCCCCACTAATTCGAAGCTCCATATAATATGCAAAATAAAACTTCAATATTGCTACGACAAACATTTATATGTACATATTATACGATAAAAATTATCTATGGCCGTCAGAGAAAAATTATGTATTTACGAAAAAAAAAAAGAAAAAAAAAAAAAGATAAATAAATAAATAAAAAAAAAAAAAATAGATTTTACTCTTTTTTTTTCTGTTTTTCTTTTTCCCCACTAATTCGAAGCTTCATGTAATATGCAAAATAAAACTTCAATATCGCTACGACTAACATTTATATGTACATATTATACGATAAAAATTATCTATGGCCGTCAGAGAAAAATTATGTATTTACGAAAAAAAAAAAGAAAAAAAAAAAAAGATAAATAAATAAATAAAAAAAAAAAAAATAGATTTTACTCTTTTTTTTTCCTGTTTTTCTTTTTCCCCATTAATTCGAAGCTTCATGTAATATGCAAAATAAAACTTCAATATCGCTACGACAAACATTTATATGTACATATATATTATACGATAAAAATTATCTATGGCCGTCAGAGAAAGATTATGTATTTACGAAAAAAAAAAAAAAAATAAAAAAAAGAAAAAAAAAAGATAAATAAATAAATAAATAAAAAATAAAAGATAAATAAATATCTATTAATTATATAAACGAAAAAGAAAAAAAAAAAAAACAATAACTTTCACTTAATTTTTCATTATCGTCTTCGCTAATTATTATGAGATAGGAAGATGAGGAAAGTCACACACACAACAAGAAACGTTGAATTTTTTCTTTCGATCGTCTGTTATATTTTAAAAAATGTGTTTGCTCTTGTATTATTTCTTTTGGTTTTTTTTTGTCTTTTTTTTTCTTTCTCTTAAATCTTTTCTTCTTTCTTTATTTTTTTTTTTTTCTTCTTTTTTAATCGTCAACTGAAACTTAGCAAGCAGGCGGCAAGAAAATTCTTAGACGATCAGTCCCTCTTTTCGAAAATACACGTAAACATTTTCGGAAAATAATTTACCGGCACAAATTTCTCTCTCTCTCTCTTTTTCTTTTTTCTTCTTCTTATTATTATTATTAATAATATTATTATTTCTTTTTTCTTTTTTTGTTTTTTTTTTCCTTTTAAAGTTTTCCTGCCGCAGCTGCTTCCATTCTAAAACAAACGGTTTCATTCGACTCCTAATCGTTATTTTACTTTGCTCTTATAATGAAACATAAAACGGTGGGATAAGATAGAAATCGGACTTAGATAGGCCGAATAAAGGAAAAAAACATTTTAGAAATTATATGTTACGTATGACCTATCTAATAAACTAATTAACTATTTTAATGAGTTAGATTTGATGATGGTCGGATTAGAGAGGGCAAGGACACAATGCAACAAAATTATCAATCGATATTAAATTCTTATTTAAAACGCGATGCGATATCTAATATGCGTAATCATAATGTTCGTTGGATTTTGATATTTGATTCTTCGGTTTTACTTCTTTCTTATTTTTCTCTCTTTGTGTTCTTTTTTTTTCCTTTCTCTTCTTTTCATTTTGTTTTTGTTTTTGTTTCTTCACAAAAAAACTTCACGAAGCGTCACGAACGGAGTACACAAAAGCGTTACACAACAATTTACGTGGATTCGGTGATATTTTATCGAAGTAAACGAATCTTCTCATTCTTTCGATGACGTATTTTTAACCGATATAAATAATCGAGTATAAACGATACGAAAAAATGAAGAAACTTTGTAAAATGATTATATATCATTTAATAGCACACGCCGGTACTTACTACTACCCACGATCTTTTTGATCATTGTCATTGTAAGCGGTTCGATCGCTCTCCCTCTCCTTATATTAGTAATACATAATATTTTTTACATTCGTTTTACGCTCGAATGAAAAACAACAACAACAAAAAAAAGGAAACAAAAACGAAAGAAAAAAAAAAATAAAGAAAAAGAAGAAGAAGAAGAAAAAGAAGAAGAAAAAGAGGTCGAAAAATAAATTCAAAAGAAAAGCTCTCAGAGATCATTCTCCTTACTCCCTACTGAAACTGATACAAACGCTTTGATTTTATTCGAAAGTAATAATAATAATCCTTGGATATTATCGTTCTGAATGAACGAATTAAATTAATGATAAACGATGTGTAAACTTATTCGGCTAAAATTTCATATCGAATTTTAATGGATTATGAAAAATCAGGACAATGGTAGAACTTTTGTTATGAAACATCAACAAGATTGATCCAAGAAAATATTCTTATATCTTTTCGGATTACACAGGCATGCACAAATACATACATACATACATACATACATACATACATACATACATACATACATACATACATACATACATACATACATACATACGTCCTTAAATCCACTGTCCTGCTAACAAGGAAAATAAATGATATTCTTGAAAACAAAAAAAAAAAGGATCAATTTTAAAACACAATGATAATCTCCTTAGATTATCTCTTATTACCATTCTAAGAATCATTTCTATTTGTACCCTGGGTATTAGAAGAATCACCATTCTAGTCAACTGATTACTATAGAGGTAAAATGTTTCTCATTATAAAAAAAAAAAAAAAAAAAAAAAAATAAGACTCTGGAAATAGCTAATCAAATAACGTATGTACTAACGGAGGACTTTCTCGATATAAAATGACTGATAGCAAAAATTAAAACGATATATATGTATGTATATACATATATATATATATATATATATATATATATATATACACATATATATCGAAAAAGATCGTCACAAAAAATTATCACAAAACATATAGTTGTTTTGTTAATAACGAAGAATTCTGAAGAGCATAGTTTTATGTTATTATTGGTGGAAAAAAAAAAAAAAAAAAAAAGAAGAAGACAAATAACTAACCATCAGATATACACCATCTTTTGAAATTAACTAGATATTTACTGGAAGTAATTAAACGATTCTTTTGCTATAGATATTACAAGAGATTAATACTCTGGATATACATATATACATGTATGTACTTGAAATTATTAAATGAGCTGACTTTCAAAAAATAATCTCTGGACGGAATAATCTTCCATCTTTTTGACATATAGCAATTATTATTATTTTTTTTTTGTTTTTTTTTTTTAATTAAGTACGTTCGCCTAACAACGTTTCTATTTTTCCTATCAATATCCTCGTCCTGCACGATAAGTAGAACGAAGAATATGCATTCTCTTTCAAGAAAGTAATCTGATTACTAAATGAAAGAAGAATTATCATTTTCTATTAGCTAATCAATTATGACGGAAATAAATGTATTCTATAGAAGATATTACCAAGAGAAGAGATCTTTGTTACAAATGGAAGATTACGACAATTAATAATCCAAAAGATTGAATATTCGTTAACTTTGGAAATGTGCGTTTGTATCAAGATAAAAAAAAAAAAAAAAAAAAATCTTATCATAGGTATCATTTCGGTATATATATATATATATATGTATAAACGACAATATAAAACGACAATCAATCTATGAGAATAATTGGAAAATGAATGAGAATGTATCATCGATAATACGAAGAGCTACCTTAAGACAAAAACTATACGTTATTTTTACAGCGTGCCGAATGTGAGTGAGCACAAAGTCGCATATTTTTTTCTTTTTTTTTTTTTGCGATTGTTACGAAGACATTAAGGATTAACATTTTCTCTTTTCAAAAACATCATTGTGACGAAGGGAGGGGGCGGGTGGCGAGGAGATCAGGGAGAGGAGGCGTGAAAGAAAGAAAAAAAGAAAAAGAAAAAAAAAAACAGGATAAAATTGTACTCATATACACTGTTAACTTCGACTCGAAAACATTTCATTCGAAATGTTGCGTGAAAAGAAAAAAAAAATCCAAAAAAAAAAAAAAGAAAAAAAAAAAACAAAAAAATTCAAAATAAATCGATTGAATAAGAAAGTGAAGTGTTAAATACACTGAAGCTTACTAACACGATCTCACAAAGATCATCACTTTTGAATGATTACACGGTATTTACGTCGATACACAATTGCGAAGAAAAGAAGATTAAGAAGAATAAGAAGAATAAGAAGAAGAAGAAGAATAAAAGAAGAAGAAGAAGAAGAAGACGAAAACGAAAGAAAGAAAAAGAAGAAATAAAATAAAATAAAAAAAAAAATGAATGCAACAATAATGAAATAACAATGTTCTCATTAGCGCCTTGTACTACGATAAGCGCTGGTAACCCGAAGTTTACTTCTCGAGCGTAAACGAACTACATATGTACAAGCGAAGAAATGAGATGAGAGAATTGAAGACGTACCCATCGTCTCGATCCGGCGATAATGTCTTCAAAATACTTCCAACCATTTACATTCTTTTTTCTTTTTTTTTTTCTTTTTTTTTTTTTTTTTTTTTTCATATAGTACACAAAGACAGTTTACACACAACTTTTTAGAACTTCTTCTTTTCCCACATTCTATCGTTTCGCATCAGGACACATTTAAAACTCTCGCGTTATTCTCACTTATTTACTTACTTACTTACTTACTTACTTACTTTACTTACTTACTTACTTACTTACTTATATGTATGTAATCTTTCTCCCATTTTTTGTTTCTTTTTGTTTGTTTGTTGTTTCTCACTCGCACAATCCATCTTATTTATATTCTCATATCGCACACGCATACAATTACAATTTGTATAGTAACCACCGTATCGTTATCGTACGAAATCGTTTCTATGTATATGTACATACGTAAACCTTTCATTTTTCCTTTTTTTCTTTTCTTCTTCTATTTTCTTTTCACCCATTAATCTTCTTCTTCTTCTTCTTTTCTCTTTCTTTTTTTTTTTCTTTTTTCCCCACCTCTCGATAGACGGACACACTTTTACTTTACAATTGGTACATTCCAAGATTCATTCTAAATTTCATTTATAGTTCGGATGAGAAATCTTGGAATGTACACCAATTTGAATTTCATT